TATCTAATGGTGCACAGAGCGAAACCGCCCGGCTTTACGATTCAGCAAGCCGCCTGCTGAGTTGATGGGTGCAAAAAGGCTTCCAGGATCAAGAAACCCACCCAAACCCCTCCCTGGCCTGTCCCTGCAGCGGCACTCCTTACCCAGGGCAGAGCTGGACTCCAGCCCTAAAACGCCATCCGCGAGGAGGTGGGGATGGCTCCGCTCCCTGCCCGGCCGTGTCGGGAGCACGGAGGTTCGGGGTGCGACGCCGGGCTGGGGCACCCAGCCAGTTACCTTGTATTGGAGTTTGAGCCTGGGACCCAAAGTGGCTCGGGGTGCTGAGGGATCCGCGGGGATTGGGCGTTGTTGGGGTGACTCTCATGGACTGGCGCAGCCGTTCCAGCTCCCCGTAGCGGTCGGTGAAAGGTTTGGCTTGGTCTTCTAGCTTTTGTCTGTGCCCTGGAACATGATAAGAGAGTCTGATATCTAATCGGTTACCCTTTGGCTCGAGCACCCTGGTTAAACGCAAACTCAGCGCAGTCTCCATCTTTGTGGTTTGCTATTATTCACGTGGGGGTAACGCGTGGCGGCCCCGGCAGAGATCGGCTCTCCGGGGGCTTTGCATGGCACACGCACATGGGAAGACCTCGCAGTTCAGACAGGCGAAACCTGCTGGAGAAGGGACACAGTCCGACCCATGCAGGAGGCTCCACATCACCCGGCAAGTCAGCGTCGGACTGAGGAACAGGATGCGGGCGCCGGGGTCAGGGTGCCCCGTGCCATGCCTACACCAGCCCTCACTGGCTCCGAGCCAGGAGAGGAGACACCTGCAAGGCAGGAGGAACCCCATCTCCTGGCAGGGCAGTGATTGGGGAAACAGCAAAGGAAACATTGAATTTAAAGCATTTTCGACAGCGTTTGCTCAGTCCACAAAGAATAAACTCTCATCTTACTCCAGCTCAGCCCCCAGCTCTGCCCACCCAACGGGGCCGGAGCCGAGCAGGGCTGGAGAAGAGACGGGAGCAGCTCGTCCCCGTACCACACCTTGGCCATCTCACTTTGCTTCTTTCCGTTCCTCCTTTCCTACCCGTAAAACGGGGAGACTATTCACCCACCTCCCCCAGGCAGGGCAGCAACTAATGAGCATTTGTAAAGCACTCCCAGCTCCTTAGGTAGCAGCTGCTGGAACAGGGCAATAATTATTAAATTTATGCTAATTGTCCCGAGGCAAGAGGCGCATGAAATACACTTGATACATAACTTTCGCATTTTACTATATTAATCATCGCCGAACGGCTTCACTCTCTCTGGGCCGGATTCCAGTCTCAGTTACACCCGCACAAAGCTGGAGGGACTCCAGAGAAGCCGGAGCTGCTTCAGTTTTACATCAGTGCTGGGTTCAGACCTTGGGTTCTCCTTGTTCTTTACCTGCCGCAGCCAGACGGCCCTGCAACATCCCCACCTCGTTGCACCTGCCATGAAAGGACCTTCCCAAGGTGGCAAACGCCTTATCCCGGCGTCATCGAGAGCAGAGCTCGGGGGCACTGGAGGTGTGCAGGCACGCCGGGGCGGTGGGAGAGGAGCTGGGAAGAAACCCTTCTGCAGCTCTTCTAAGAGCTCAGCCTTATCAGATCCAGCCCTCTGGCCCAACATCCACCAAGTCAAGCTCAGTTCTCGGTGGCTTTTAAGAAGAAAAGCGATGCATTTGAAAGGCGCAAAACGCAGCCACCTCTTGCTCGCACCCCCCTCCTCCCTCCCCCCTCACATCTGCGTAGCCTGAGCTCAGTGTCAATTTATAGCAAACTCACAGAAAGTCCCCAGACTTCCCCCTCTTTAAATCTGATGTCTGATATCTTCTGATCTCGCGCTCGCTTGGCTCCTCGAGCTCCGGCTGCCCTTGCCAGGCTGTCTGCGGAGACGCCGGACAGCTCAGATGGGAGAGGAGAACATCAACTCCAGAGGGGACCCTGCGCTCCCAGCTGAGCTCCCGGCCACGCCGTCACACCACGGGTATCCCAACAGCAAACCGCCCCCGCCACAGTTTTTGAGGGGTTCTGACCCCCACTCTGGGAGCTCCACATCCAGGTGAGCCCCACTGTCCCCCCCAAACTCTCTAACCCCCAGGCTCCCGGGTGCGTAGAAGTCCAAACGGAATGAAAACGTGCTGACACCAGAGAGCAAAACTTGGTCAGGACAAACGCCCAGCAGAAAGCAAAACCCAGCGGTATTTTGAAAACGTATTTTCCCTGCTGCATGAAGTAAACCAAGGAAACCTCAGATCAACACCCTAAACTATCTCTTCCAATCTCTGCGCGTCCCTCGACCTCGGGCATCTCTGCGTTATCTGACGGCCTTTGGAGACATGAGCAGCATCTGTCACACGGTGTTTGTGCTTTCCCCAAGGGGGAACGCGAGTGCAGTGAGGTGTCTTGTTTTGGTCTACATTTTATTATTTCAGTATGCATTTGAGCACAGAAGAAGAAAAATAGGTTTTCGTTTGCGTTTTTACCTTTTAACGAATTTCCTCAGACCGAGCTTAGCAGAGAAGCCAAGAGGACTTCAAAGACTGAGTTCCACAGAAATCTAATAGAAAGTAAATTCTCTGCTTCTATCTCAGCTGAAACCCTATCCTGCAGTATCATGTGATGGAGAAAATCCTGAAAAATAAATCAAGTGATCTCTATGCTGATAATGTTTTAAAGATTATTCAGCCGTACGACTTAACCGAGGGCTTCATGTGGCTTCATCGTGCTGCACTGTGGTTGCTCCGGTCCCCACGCTGTCTGAACGCAAACGCAGCCCCGTGGGGTTTTTAAGCCTCAAGTAAATAGCAGCGCTGTACTTACACCTTCTAAAAGGGGCTGGTTTGCGGGGAGACCCAGCAATTACCAGCAAAAACCCCAAAACCCTAAAACTATACTGATAAAAGGAAAGTAGAAAACTTGCTGCCAATATAAGTCAAGGCAAACACTCGTGTAGGAGTGAAAACCCAGCGGAGAGCTGCGGTGGGATCAGGACCTTTCCCAGCTCTCCGAGAGCCTCTCGGGTTCGTATCCCACCCTGTCTCCACGGGCAGCGCTAAACCATACGAAAACAAGGCAGTGAATGAGTTAAAAACCACCAGTTTGGACTGCCAACCCTCTTTGGTACAGGCTGTCTCCCCAGGACTTCCTGCCGCTTGTCACTTCGAGCGAGGGACGTCAGACTTTGTCACGCAAGAGAGAATCGCTATTAATGGGTTTCTTTCATCAGAACAACCTGAGCTTTTTAATTTCTGCAGCGGTTGGCTTCATTAAAAGCCCTTCCCCATCTACCCACAGCTGTCACGGAGAGGAAACCAATGCCGTCGAGTGAACAATAGCTCATACCTTAGAGAAGAGGACGGTGGTTTCTAGCTTAACCCAAGGACCTACTCAAAGCCTCCCGAAGTCAGTGGGTGGATTTTCAATCGACTTCGAACCGCTCCAGATCTCATCCCAAGAACTCAGTCTGAGAAGCCTTACTCACCCCGACCTGTGAATTTTTGGGGCGTGAAACCTGCTGTCGGGTTGGAGCTTTTGCGCTGCGTTCCCAGCTGTGCTAGCACCGGCTTGCAGGTCAATATTTATGGAAACATCAGTCCTTAGCGCTGTCAAATGATGGCAGCTACTGACCTTAGGCACTTCTTGTCAACAGCGCAAGGGTTTTAACGCTGGATTGGGTTTCCGAATCAGTTAACTCTGATATTGAATATGACATGATGTAAACATTGACAGATCACCTACGATCCTGATGTAATACCAAGATCTGTATCAGCATATCAAACAAACGATCCCATTGAACACTTCCCAGCTGGAAGAGCCGATGTGAATTTGACACTTTAGGCCAGTAATAAGAAGCATACTGGAAGTTTTGGGTGTTTCCTTGGAATGCAGACAGCGAAACAGTGTGTGCCACACTGCAGCTCAGGCCCTCAAAGCGATGATTTAAAGACATGCTTTCTGCATTAAAACATCTCAAAGACCAAACGGATCCCGCTCT